GGATCGGAAAAATTAAATTTTGATGGATTTTCATGAAACTTGGTATGTAGGGGTTTTCGAGGTCGCTGATTACGAATCTGATGTCAGATTTTGAAAATCCAAAATGGCGGATCCAATATGGCGGACCGAAAAAATTAAATTTTGATGGATTTTCATGAAACTTGGTATGTAGGGGTTTTCGAGGTCGCTAATTACGAATCTGATGTCAGATTTTGAAAATCCAAAATGGCGGATCCAATATGGCGGACCAGAAAAATTAAATTTTGATGGATTTTCATGAAACTTGGTATGTAGGGGTTTTCGAGGTCGCTGATTACGAATCTGATGTCAGATTTTGAAAATTCAAAATGGCGGATCTAATATGGCGGACCGAAATTTTTAAATTCGATGGATATTCATGGAACTTGGTATCTAGAGTTTTCGAGGTCGCTGATTACGAATCTGATGTCGGATTTTGAAAATTCAAAATGGCGGATCAAATATGGCGGACCGAAATTTTAAAATTCGATGGATTTTCATGAAACTTGGTATCTAGGGGTTTTCGAGGTCGCTGATTACGAATCTGATGTCGGATTTTGAAAATTCAAAATGGTGAATCCAATATGGTGGATCAAAAAATTTAAAATTTGATGAAATTTGAATAAATATTTATTAAACTTGGTATGTAGGGGTTTTCGTGGTAGCTGATTACGAATCTGATGTCATATTTTTAATATTCAAAATGTCGTATTTAAAGATAATGGATAAATTTTAGAAACTGTGTTAGGTCTTTAATAATTTTTAAATGCGGAACCAACTTACTCTTTGCGTGACCCAGAACTAACGACGTGGACGTGGTAAGCTACTAGTTCCTTAATTTTTTTTTAATTTTTTATTTTTTTTTATTTTTTTTATTTTTTTACATTTTATTTATTTTTTTTATTTTTTACATTTTATTTTATTTTTTTTGCTTTTTAGTATTTATTTTTTAATTTTAATTCTGGTTTTGTAAATGAAATTAATTTTTTTAGTAAAATGTGTTTTTTCACCCGTTAATTTTTATTTTTTGTGGTAGTTTCTGAAGCAAGAACCGATGCACAAAGCAACTTTGCAAACCACGCAAACTGTTTTGGTTCGAACTTGCTTTTTGTTTTTGTAGCAGTTGGCACATCTTCTCCTAGTTGGTCCTACTTCAATTTCATGCTTAGCGTCGAAAAGTCTTTGTGATTCCATTTTATTTTTAATTTTTTCTGTTTTTGGACGACCGCGTTGTTTTTTTGATGAGAAATCATCGATTAATTGCCTTGCTAAGTTGAGACGAAAGCACAATTGATCAGCTGATTTATCTTTCTTGTGAATTTTCCAAAGAATTGATGCGTTTACAATAGCAAGATCGACAAGAAAATAAAAAATTCTGTGCCACCACTTTCGAGACCTTCTACCAATAGCATATCGCTTCTTTTTTTTTATCAAATAGATCTACTCCACCCATATATTTATTATAATCTGCGATAGCTACTGGACAATTAACGACACTTCTACTGCCATCTTTATTTTTTCGGTTTACATGGCAAGTATCTTGAGGATTGTGTGCTGTAGTCAAAAGAGTTACAGGCTTTGAATCCATCCACTTGATACTAGCAACGCATCCTTTAACAAGAAATTTAAAGTCTCCCCTCTTAATTTTTTCTTGTTCTTTGAGCATTGGAGGTAAACCTATTCTATTGGACCTAACAGTGCCGACTGCGAAAATATTTTTTGCTCTTAACTGATTCATAAGGCTCAAAGAAGTAAAAAAATTATCGAATACTACCAAGCATCCGCTATTGACCATTTTTTCTGTGAGGTTTAGAACAACTCGTTCACCTAAACTACCGGTTGCTGAATTTTTTTCTTCAGATTTCCCTGTGTAAACTTCAAACTTTAAAACGAATCCAGTTTTTGAATCCGCCAAAGTCCAGAACTTATAACCTCTTTTAATCGGTTTCATGGGCATGTATTGCTTTAAACTTGAACGCCCTTTGAACTTTATCATTGACTCATCTACTGACACTTTATTAGAGTGCAGATAAGTTTTTTCTATATTAATGTTTATCTCATCAATTACAGGTCTAAGTTTATGCAACTTATCGATATTACGATTTCTGTTCCCAATAATTGTCTTATTGGAAATCAGATGTAAATTGGATGTTATTTGTTTGAAGCGATTACGAGTCATAACATTTGACACTGCTGGTACTATCAAAATGGGATCTGAACTCCAAAAATGTTCTAATGCTGGAAGTTTGTGAATCCCCATAATGATATTCAAACCTAACCAAGCTTTTAGTTCTTCCAAAGTTATTGGCGTCCAAGTTGTAAGGTTTGATTTTTCTAATGCGTAAGCATTTGTTTCTTGAACTATAAAGCGTAACATTTTTTCAGAAAAAATTCTGTAGAAAACATCTTTTTCAGAAGAATTTTTTTCAATGGGTATTTTTGAACCAGGACTAGATTCCCTAAGAATAATATTTTTTAATTTTCGAACATCATGTGACCAAATATCATCATTGTCACCTTCAACACTTTCACTATCTGTATTATCAGATTCAGATGATGCTTCAGAATCAGAAGTTAAAAGTGATTTTTCTAAGAGATTACTCTCTTCTTCAGATGATGCATAATCACCTGCAACTTCAGAATCATCAGAAACATCTGGAACTGAATACTTATCGTGAAAATTGTTTTTACTTCTCCGCTTCATTTTAAAAACAAATGAAAGAAGAAAAACAAATGAATAACGTAAGAAACGCACTATACTGTTCGCCTATACACCAATTTTTTATTATGCTATTTCACGTACTTTTCCTTTGTGCAAAATGAAATAAACAAATTAAGGAGAAAAAGCAAATAAAAAAATTAAGAAACGCAATGTACTGCTTGTCTTTGCACCAGTTTCACATTTTGCTATTTCAAGTACTTTTGTACTTTGCAAAGATCAAAGCATATTTTCGTAAATTGGCACTATAAGATTGAATAGAATAGGATTTTCCCTCAATTCGTAATCAGCAATCCCCAAAAACCCCTAGATACTAAATTTCATGAAAATTAATAAAATTTAAAAATTTTGTACACCATATTGAATTCGCCAATTTGAATTTACAAAATATGACATCAGATGCGTAATCCAACAGTGAACCCAACATGCTCTAAATGCCAAGTTCAATGAAAAGCCATCCAAATTTAATTTTTTTGGTCCGCCATATTGGATCCGCCATTTTGAATTTACAAAATATGACATCAGATGCGTAATCCAACAGTAAACCCAACATGCTCTAAATGCCAAGTTCAAAGAAAAGCCATCCAAATTTAATTGTTTTAGTCCGCCATATTGGATCCGCCATTTTGAATTTTCAAAATCCGACATCAGATTCGTAATCAGCAACCCCGAAAACCCCTAGATACCAAGTTCCATGAAAATCCATCGAATTTTAAATTTTTGGTCCGCCATATTGGATCCGCCATTTTGAATTTTCAAAATCCGACATCAGATTCGTAATCAGCAACCCCGAAAACCCCTAGATACCAAGTTCCATGAAAATCCATCGAATTTTAAATTTTTGGTCCGCCATATTGGATCCGCCATTTTGAATTTTTAAAATCTGATATCAAACTCGTAATCAGCGACCCCGAAAACCCCTAGATACCAAGTTTCATAAAAATCCATCAAATTTTAAAATTCCGGTCCGCCATATTGGATCCGCCATTTTGAATTTTCAAAATCTGACATCAGATTCGTAATCAGCGACCCCGAAAACCCCTAGGTACCAAGTGTCATAAATTTTGAATGGAAAAAAAATTTGGACGTTAAAGGGTATAACATGACTTTAATTCTGATGTGAACATGAATCAGAATTCAGAAAGTAAATGTTTTAATTTAAGCCTGATGTCTAGTAATAATTTTTTATGATAATTTTTTGAAAAATTAGGATAAAAAAGAAAGTTTAATATTTTTAATTAACAATATTAAAGTCCGTATTCCGTTTGCATATATATATATTTTGTCTGTTCGCTTTTAGTATGTCTGTTCGCCGTTAGAGGGAGCAAAACGCCCCCCGCTGCGAGGGCTACTTGGAATTGAGTCCCGAGCAACCTTCACAGCGGGTTGCAATTATGCCTTTTGAAAATTTTGATGAATGTAAATTTGAACAAAATTATTTGGGTTTGTTGAATGTTAAGTGCGAGTTTTGTGCTGCATTACATTTTATGTGTGAAAGACCACTAGATAAAAAATTTAGTAGTTGCAGTCATAAGGGAAAAGTAAAATTAGATGATTTAAATGATTATCCGATTTATTTACGTAATTTATTAAATGATTCCAACATAGAAGGTAAAAATTTTAGGGAAAATATTCGTTCTTATAACAGTTCTTCTGCTTTTGCCAGTATGGGAGCTAAATTAGAAATTCCTAAAGGGTATGGTCCTTATGTTTTTCGTATACATGGACAAGTGTATCATAATACATATGCTCTTCATCCCAATGATGGTGACAGTTTAAAATATGGTCAGCTGTATATTCTTGATACTAATGAAGCTGTATTTGAACGATTAAAAAATTGGAAGAAAAGCAGGCGCAAAACGCCTACATCTAGGGTTTCGTGGCATTTAAAAAGAAAAAAAAATTTTTAAAGAAAAACTATGGATGTTTAATTAATGTACAATTAATTTCTATAAATTGATTCTCCACCAATTAACATTAACATTAATAGAGAATAAATAGAAGCAGGCATTTACGAATCCTGTTTTGGTTATCATAAACCATTGTGGTTAAGACTGACTGACTGACTGATTTGGGATCTATAGTGCCCCAAATTACGACGGACAGACGGACAGACGGACGGACGCCAAAGTGAAACTATAAGGCTTTCGGCCATGGGCCACGAAACCCTAAAAATGAATCGAATAAGAAATGTTTACCACAATTACTGGAAGGAATAGATAAATTATTAAGAGAGGTTAGTCCATTTGCAGATGCCTTGAAAATGATGAGAGAAGTAGAATTAGAAGAAGAAACTAGAGCGAAATTGGAAAATAAACCTATAAGGGATATTAAAATGAGGATCAAACGGGATAGATCATTAAATCAAAGTAAATTCAATGTACCATCTTGTAATGAAGTAGCAGTTGTATTTGTGAGTGAAAATGGTGAACCTCCAGTGGATCGTGATATATGTATACATCCAAAAGGTTCTGAAAGTATTCCCATTTCTATTCTTAGTGCAAACGCTGATCCTATGATATATCCTTTAATGTTTCCTTCAGGTGATTCAGGATGGACTGTAAACATTAAGCAAATTAATAGTTTTCGTAATGTTACTGCTTTACAATTTTGTTTGTATCGCCTTTCTTACAGAGGAATGTTTAATCCATGTACGCAAACGGGAAAATTAAGTCAACAATTTATAGTTGATATTTGGTCAAAAGTCGTAGCTGGACGCATAAGTTTCATTTATAAAAATCAAAAACAACTTCGAGTAGAAATGTACTGTGGATTAATGGATTATGTACATAATAAAGCAAATAGAGAAAATGTAAAACCAGGAAGAATAATTATTTTACCATCAACATTTACTGGAGGACCACGTTCGTATCAACAATCTTTTATGGATGCCATGCGATTAGTTCAAGAATTTGGAAAACCTGATTTATTCATTACAATGACATGTAATCCAAAATGGCGAGAGATTAGAGAAAATTTGTTAGAAGGTGAAATTGCGTCTGATCGACCGGATATTGTAGCTAGAGTTTTTCAACAAAAGGTAAAATCGCTTATGAGTGAATTAAAAGATAAAAATATTTTTGGATTAGTTCTCGCTTATGTGTATGTAATAGAATTCCAAAAGCGTGGATTGCCACACATACATTTAATTTTATTTTTGGATAAAACTTTTGCGATTCGTGATGCAGAATCTGTAGATAAAATAATATGTGCAGAAATTCCAGATGAAACAAAAAATCCAGAACTTTTTAAAATTGTAAAACAATTTCAAGTCCATGGACCTTGTGAAAAGCAAAATATGAATTCGCCTTGCATGAATCCGGAAACAAAAATTTGCGTGAAACATTATCCAAAACCTTTTTGTTCAGAAACAAATTATGATTCAAAAAACTATCCGGAATATAGACGAAGAAATGATGGTAAAAAAATCATTTTTTATAAAAAAGATGTAACAATTAAATGCACTGCAGACAATTCGATGATTGTACCATATAATCCGTATTTGAGTAAAACATTTGAATGTCACATTAATGTTGTAGCATGTGGTAGTATAGGTGGTGTAAAATACTTATTTAAGTATTGTTTTAAGGGCCATGACTGTGCAATAGTAGGTATTAAAGATAATAATGATTTAATGCACTATGATGAACCTCAACATTATTTGAATACACGTTATGTATGTCCACCAGAAGCAATGAATAGATTATTCGAATTTAATATGCACGAACAATCACATGCGGCATACAGATTAGCTTTGCATTTACCTAATCAACAAGCAATATGTTTTAAAGAAGGAATTATTATTATTATTTTTTTTAAACTACATTTTAATTAATTAGAACTTTAAAGTTAGTAATGATTTTATAGTGTAGTAAAAATTTTAATTTAAAAATTAAAATTATAATAAATTGAATAAAAAAGAATTTGTTATATAATTAGGTGTATATTTTGTATTTAATTAAAAATTAAAATTTGTAAAAATTTGTAAAAATTTGTAAAAATTTGAAGCATTTTTTTTAAAAATGCTAATTTTTATATCTAAAAGAAATGGGAAATAAATATCTATTAATAGGGAGGGGGAAACTTTAATCATATTTATAAGGAATAGATTAAATAAGATCAATAATTTCTAATTAAGTGAACTATTTTTATCGAGTGACTTTTGTCAGGAATGGAAAACTGGTTTTCCTCATAGGATTTGGAAGAAATTTAAGAAAAAGAGGCAAAAGAAAGATCTTAAAATTTTTAATTTAATATAAAATTTAGACCTGATAGAATATTAAATTTTTAATATATTAATATATTAAAAATATTAAAGGAAATTAATTTTAGTAAAAAATATATTTTATATAATAAATTAAAAGGATAAAAAGAATAGAAATAGGTAAAGTAAATTATTTAGTTAAAATAAAAAAGTATAATGTAGATGAAAATTGAATATTTTATTAATGTGTAAATTACAAAATGTTTAAGTTATGTAATAATTTAAGAATCTTATGAAAAAATTAAAATTATAGGAATAAAAATATTTTAGAAAATAAATCAAATTACATAGTAAATAACATCTTGATGGACAATAATGAAATATTCAATATATTGTGGCATTTAAAATATTATAATTATAAATTTTTATAATGAAATTATAATGTTTTTTTTAAACTACATTTTAATTAATTAGAACTTTAAAGTTAGTAATGATTTTATAGTGTAGTAAAAATTTTAATTTAAAAATTAAAATTATAATAAATTGAATAAAAAAGAATTTGTTATATAATTAGGTGTATATTTTGTATTTAATTAAAAATTAAAATTTGTAAAAATTTGTAAAAATTTGTAAAAATTTGTAAAAATTTGAAGCATTTTTTTTAAAAATGCTAATTTTTATATCTAAAAGAAATGGGAAATAAATATCTATTAATAGGGAGGGGGAAACTTTAATCATATTTATAAGGAATAGATTAAATAAGATCAATAATTTCTAATTAAGTGAACTATTTTTATCGAGTGACTTTTGTCAGGAATGGAAAACTGGTTTTCCTCATAGGATTTGGAAGAAATTTAAGAAAAAGAGGCAAAAGAAAGATCTTAAAATTTTTAATTTAATATAAAATTTAGACCTGATAGAATATTAAATTTTTAATATATTAATATATTAAAAATATTAAAGGAAATTAATTTTAGTAAAAAATATATTTTATATAATAAATTAAAAGGATAAAAAGAATAGAAATAGGTAAAGTAAATTATTTAGTTAAAATAAATAAGTATAATGTAGATGAAAATTGAATATTTTATTAATGTGTAAATTACAAAATGTTTAAGTTATGTAATAATTTAAGAATCTTATGAAAAAATTAAAATTATAGGAATAAAAATATTTTAGAAAATAAATCAAATTACATAGTAAATAACATCTTGATGGACAATAATGAAATATTCAATATATTGTGGCATTTAAAATATTATAATTATAAATTTTTATAATGAAATTATAATGTTTTTTTTAAACTACATTTTAATTAATTAGAACTTTAAAGTTAGTAATGATTTTATAGTGTAGTAAAAATTTTAATTTAAAAATTAAAATTATAATAAATTGAATAAAAAAGAATTTGTTATATAATTAGGTGTATATTTTGTATTTAATTAAAAATTAAAATTTGTAAAAATTTGTAAAAATTTGTAAAAATTTGGAAAAATTTGAAGCATTTTTTTTAAAAATGCTAATTTTTATATCTAAAAGAAATGGGAAATAAATATCTATTAATAGGGAGGGGGAAACTTTAATCATATTTATAAGGAATAGATTAAATAAGATCAATAATTTCTAATTAAGTGAACTATTTTTATCGAGTGACTTTTGTCAGGAATGGAAAACTGGTTTTCCTCATAGGATTTGGAAGAAATTTAAGAAAAAGAGGCAAAAGAAAGATCTTAAAATTTTTAATTTAATATAAAATTTAGACCTGATAGAATATTAAATTTTTAATATATTAATATATTAAAAATATTAAAGGAAATTAATTTTAGTAAAAAATATATTTTATATAATAAATTAAAAGGATAAAAAGAATAGAAATAGGTAAAGTAAATTATTTAGTTAAAATAAATAAGTATAATGTAGATGAAAATTGAATATTTTATTAATGTGTAAATTACAAAATGTTTAAGTTATGTAATAATTTAAGAATCTTATGAAAAAATTAAAATTATAGGAATAAAAATATTTTAGAAAATAAATCAAATTACATAGTAAATAACATCTTGATGGACAATAATGAAATATTCAATATATTGTGGCATTTAAAATATTATAATTATAAATTTTTATAATGAAATTATAATGTTTTTTTTAAACTACATTTTAATTAATTAGAACTTTAAAGTTAGTAATGATTTTATAGTGTAGTAAAAATTTTAATTTAAAAATTAAAATTATAATAAATTGAATAAAAAAGAATTTGTTATATAATTAGGTGTATATTTTGTATTTAATTAAAAATTAAAATTTGTAAAAATTTGTAAAAATTTGTAAAAATTTGTAAAAATTTGAAGCATTTTTTTTAAAAATGCTAATTTTTATATCTAAAAGAAATGGGAAATAAATATCTATTAATAGGGAGGGGGAAACTTTAATCATATTTATAAGGAATAGATTAAATAAGATCAATAATTTCTAATTAAGTGAACTATTTTTATCGAGTGACTTTTGTCAGGAATGGAAAACTGGTTTTCCTCATAGGATTTGGAAGAAATTTAAGAAAAAGAGGCAAAAGAAAGATCTTAAAATTTTTAATTTAATATAAAATTTAGACCTGATAGAATATTAAATTTTTAATATATTAATATATTAAAAATATTAAAGGAAATTAATTTTAGTAAAAAATATATTTTATATAATAAATTAAAAGGATAAAAAGAATAGAAATAGGTAAAGTAAATTATTTAGTTAAAATAAATAAGTATAATGTAGATGAAAATTGAATATTTTATTAATGTGTAAATTACAAAATGTTTAAGTTATGTAATAATTTAAGAATCTTATGAAAAAATTAAAATTATAGGAATAAAAATATTTTAGAAAATAAATCAAATTACATAGTAAATAACATCTTGATGGACAATAATGAAATATTCAATATATTGTGGCATTTAAAATATTATAATTATAAATTTTTATAATGAAATTATAATGTTTTTTTTAAACTACATTTTAATTAATTAGAACTTTAAAGTTAGTAATGATTTTATAGTGTAGTAAAAATTTTAATTTAAAAATTAAAATTATAATAAATTGAATAAAAAAGAATTTGTTATATAATTAGGTGTATATTTTGTATTTAATTAAAAATTAAAATTTGTAAAAATTTGTAAAAATTTGTAAAAATTTGAAGCATTTTTTTTAAAAATGCTAATTTTTATGTCTAAAAGAAATGGGAAATAAATATCTATTAATAGGGAGGGGGAAACTTTAATCATATTTATAAGGAATAGATTAAATAAGATCAATAATTTCTAATTAAGTGAACTATTTTTATCGAGTGACTTTTGTCAGGAATGGAAAACTGGTTTTCCTCATAGGATTTGGAAGAAATTTAAGAAAAAGAGGCAAAAGAAAGATCTTAAAATTTTTAATTTAATATAAAATTTAGACCTGATAGAATATTAAATTTTTAATATATTAATATATTAAAAATATTAAAGGAAATTAATTTTAGTAAAAAATATATTTTATATAATAAATTAAAAGGATAAAAAGAATAGAAATAGGTAAAGTAAATTATTTAGTTAAAATAAATAAGTATAATGTAGATGAAAATTGAATATTTTATTAATGTGTAAATTACAAAATGTTTAAGTTATGTAATAATTTAAGAATCTTATGAAAAAATTAAAATTATAGGAATAAAAATATTTTAGAAAATAAATCAAATTACATAGTAAATAACATCTTGATGGACAATAATGAAATATTCAATATATTGTGGCATTTAAAATATTATAATTATAAATTTTTATAATGAAATTATAATGTTTTTTTTAAACTACATTTTAATTAATTAGAACTTTAAAGTTAGTAATGATTTTATAGTGTAGTAAAAATTTTAATTTAAAAATTAAAATTATAATAAATTGAATAAAAAAGAATTTGTTATATAATTAGGTGTATATTTTGTATTTAATTAAAAATTAAAATTTGTAAAAATTTGTAAAAATTTGTAAAAATTTGTAAAAATTTGAAGCATTTTTTTTAAAAATGCTAATTTTTATATCTAAAAGAAATGGGAAATAAATATCTATTAATAGGGAGGGGGAAACTTTAATCATATTTATAAGGAATAGATTAAATAAGATCAATAATTTCTAATTAAGTGAACTATTTTTATCGAGTGACTTTTGTCAGGAATGGAAAACTGGTTTTCCTCATAGGATTTGGAAGAAATTTAAGAAAAAGAGGCAAAAGAAAGATCTTAAAATTTTTAATTTAATATAAAATTTAGACCTGATAGAATATTAAATTTTTAATATATTAATATATTAAAAATATTAAAGAAAATTAATTTTAGTAAAAAATATATTTTATATAATAAATTAAAAGGATAAAAAGAATAGAAATAGGTAAAGTAAATTATTTAGTTAAAATAAATAAGTATAATGTAGATGAAAATTGAATATTTTATTAATGTGTAAATTACAAAATGTTTAAGTTATGTAATAATTTAAGAATCTTATGAAAAAATTAAAATTATAGGAATAAAAATATTTTAGAAAATAAATCAAA